GGGAGGTACCGTTATATGGGGACTATACCAGAACGTGGACCGATATATCTCATTTTCAATACCAACCATCCTAGACACAATGCAAATAGCTCTGCTAAATTTTGGAGCTCTACGTCAAATAATGTGGGCTGTATCGTGATTTCAACAGACAGACAGACGGACATCGTTAAATCGACTTAGAATTTTATGCTGATTATGAATATATATACTTTATGGGGTCTAAAACGAATATTTAGGGATGTTACAAACGGAATGACAAAGTTAATATACCCTCCTTTCCAAGGTGGAGGGTATAATAATGAAAAATAATTAAAGTAAGTTAAATTTAAAGTGCAATAGTTCGCAAAAAATTAAATAATATAATTTTTTCTTCATTTTGTTACCAGAATTTCAAATAAATAAGCTATTGATAATGTTGGAAAAAAGCCAACGAAATGTCGAACAAAAAATTAAATAAAATCTTATTTTCATTTTAAAATAATCCGACCAAAAAAGCCCGATAAAAACCAGTGATGTTATTCAATTCAACATAATTTTGGTTAAGAATCAAAGTAGGCAGGGCGGATTATATGTTACTTTTTACATTTATTTATGCAAAAGGTGTTTAAAAATATACTTGAGCAATATAATTTTAATTTTTAGTATCAGCATATAGTTCTGGTCACATTTTTACACTATTCCTGTTTAATTCCAAAATTAATATTTAATTATAATATATATGATATATATTAAATAAAGAATGATTTTTAGAGAGTTATTGGAAAATTTCTCATACAATTCAGAAAAGTTAATGAAATCTTTATTTGAAAAATAATTTAATATTTCATAATTTTTTCATACAAATGATAACGACCGCAAATTCTTCTTTAAATAGTCCATCAGTTTAGTCCAATTTTGCCATAGTCTTTTCAATTTTTCGTCCGTATCTCACGAACAAATGATTTTATGGTGTTTTTCGATAAGTCAACTAAAGCGGGCTTGTCTGTATAGACATGAGCTTTAACATAGCACCATAAAATTCGATCCCACGATCTAGCCGGCCAAGTGAGCGGTCTCGAACATGAAATAAGATGTTCATCGAACTCACCGCCATACTCTCCGCCATTTGGAAATAAATTGCAAATTTTCCAAAAAAAAAAAAAAAAAAAACCGTTGAAAAATATTGCTTAAATCATTAATATACCGAATATAGGGAGTTACCCACATATTGGAGCCTATACGAATACGTGCACCTGTATAGACAATTTTCTGTTACAGATGCAAAATACCCATTAGGAACTTCAAATACGAGTCTTGATACAACTCCGATTGATAATCTCGGTAAAATCATCAAAATACCGAATATGTTTCTATACAGGATGAGATAAAACAACTGCAACAAAGTCAAACGCCATAATTTTTACATTTTTTTAAATCTTATTGAACGAAAGCAAAAAATGTCAGAAATAGCATCAAATTTTACAATAAGTATATATTTGTTCGAATTGGTCACCTTTGACTTGGGGTGATCGACACTTGGGTATTTTTTAGTGCCAACATTGGTCCAACGGATTGGTATCCGCAGATTTTTTGTGGTCATTGTGCGCTAGAAATGCAGCGAGAAATCTCATTTTGTAACTATTCTTGGGTGGCGCGTGCTTAGTGCTATGGTGCTGAGTTCTGTCGGAATATCCAAGGTCGGCGGCCAAAATGTTTGCGTGCCGAGGGCTTTAATAAGCCCTCCAAAATATTTTCTCATTTATTCTGATGCTACGGACGATTAATACGAGTGGAGAGCAACAATCGGCTGTTATGGCAGCCCACACCATCACCATGGCCGGCGCTTGACTTCTGATGGCCAACCGAAGGTGCACATTTTCAGCTGATCTCTTTGGCAAGTAAACACGATAATTTTGTTTGTTTACAAACTGCTGGACAACGAATGTTTTCTCATCGGAGAAAACCGAATTCAGCAGTTCACCACTTTCGAAGCAACTCTTTAGCTCTTTTGAGTCTATTTTCTTTCTGTTGCAGTGTAAGTTCTTGCACTTTTTGGAATTCCAAATGGCTTTATCCCGAGCTCAGTTTTCATTATTTGCCGAATGGAATATTGCGATGTGTTCAGCTCTCGAGCCATTTTTCAGCCACTGCGACGCGGGTTTCGATCAAGTCGCTTCTTTACTTTTCGAACCATTTCTGCTGATGTTGCTGTTTTCTTCCGTCCACTTTCTTGACGTCGGGCTATGCTACCAGTATCACGGTAACGAGCGAAGGTATGAGACACAAAAGATTTATTCACATTTAAATGGTGAAGTGCTCTAACGATAGCCACTTGTGGTTTTCCAGCCAAATATAAAGGAATCACACTGTCACGCTTGAATTCCATCATGAATAACTTTTTTTTCTGGAATATTCTCGCCAAAACGCTTTCGTACGCTTGTAAACAATATAATGAGCTGTCACTGGAATAATTTTAACAGCTGTCAGACTAGTGACTTTTTCATCCCTCCCTGCAAAAGAAAGTAGTACCTATTATGAACCTCAAATTTCAATTTTCTGTCATAGGATGTAGTACCCAGTTGATATTCAAGTTCCAAATTTGAAACATGTTCGGTGAAAAGAATGACACAAAACACCGAATATCTGTAGAAACAGTCGGACCGCAATCTGGAAATTGTTGGAAATTCAAGCTCTTGGACCAAGCAAGAATATTGATGATGTAGCGCAAAATATTGAAGAAAATCCAGGATTGTGTTGTAGTTTTTCTTTTGAATCGGGCATTCCAAAAAGTCATTATCAGGCATGTCACAGAATGTAAAATCGTTCAAGAGTGAAAACGAAAACTGTTTTAGCTTCTCTAAAAAACGGAAAACGCAAAAATTTTGCGTTTTGATATCACTTTCAAAAAGCGGGGTGAAATTGAAATGTTTAGTGATTTTAACGTAAAAAATAAACAGAAGACACATACATTTAACGGAAAATATTGTATTAACCAAATTCTCTTAGAATGAACATGTTTTTGGAATTTATTTTACAAAAAATTTTTCTAATCCATGATGAAAAAAGGACTTGCGAGGAACTGGTGGTGGTGATATCAATCAATATGTTTTCAGTGAACACGAGAACAGTTTAATCAGAATTTGCGGATTGTATAAAAGTGTCGATGGAGTTGGTGGTGCAGTAAGCTTTGCGGATTTTGTAAGTGAATTAGACCTCAGTTGTTCTGAAAAAGAAAACTTTGATTCGTCATCATCTACACATATTCCAAGAACTCGAAAATCAAGTCAATTAGTTTTAAGTGAATCTGAAAACGAAGAGCTTAATTTTTCACCCTCAACTTCAAAGCAGACCACTTCGATTTTAAATAAAAAAGATAGACCAAGATAATGCATTCCAGCTGCTTTTAAAAATGTTTCTACATTGGCAATTGATCCAAGAACACCAACATTGGAAGAAAACCGTTCGCGAACACCTATTCAAAAACGACTTAGAAATAAAAGCTTATCGTGTTCTCCGCCATCTACACCAATAAGACAAGTGTCGGGCAGCCTAACAAAAGCAAAACCCACGCCTGCAGTAAAAAGACCCGGGGCAAGAACTCCCTCAAAGCAAGATCTAAATGCGCTTTTAGTTGAGGAAAATTCTCATTTACAAAACTTGGAAAAAATTTGTAAAATTCTAGAAGATAACAGTAAGGAAATGAAAAAACAAACTGAAAAGTTGGACAGACTTTGTAACATCCTGGAAAAAAGTATGTGGAAGAGCAGTTACATAATATTGAAATGCAAAAGAGAATGCGTGAACGGAACGAAATGAAACTCAAAATAGTTGAACTTGAAACTCTTAAATAAGCTGTAGAACAGGAAAAAGCAAATACGACTCGTTCTTAACTTTACATTATTTTACACAATGGACTAAAAATGGTGGATCCTTACTCTGCATTTGAGTGAGATAAAGGATCTGATGCGTTCCTCAATGTCCGAATTTTTTCAGTAGACCGCTGATTTGTTCATTACATCATCATTTACAGCAAGTATTGAAGCCCCTGGCATTTTTACTTTTGGTGTTTATATTATAAAAAACAATTCAAACTCCTTTTTTAATTGTCAATAATTTGTTTACGATTTTTTTTTTCATGGAGTTACCATATTTTTATTTCAAAAATGTGAAATGATTTTTTTTCCGGATTAGTCAAAACGTTCGAGTGCTGAAGAAGCAAAAGCAAATCGTAACGATTTGGATAAGGTGAAATAAATCGATTTCGTAAAACTTCTGTGACATGCCTGTATATTGTATTTTGCATAAAAGCTTTCTGTTTTTTTATTTTATCCGCACTATGTTGCATGAAAGTCAATGCCATCGAAAACTCATCGTGACTGTTTGGAGTGTTTTTAAGGCGGTGGGGACATTGCACCTATTTATTTTTGCGGTATCAAAAGATGATGAATGTTTTTTAATGGTCGGAACTGAATGCTATTTGTCTGGAAAACGTTTGTTTTCAACAAGATGGCGCTACATGCCATACAAACCATGCTCTTTGCGGAAAAGTTTTGGAACCATGTTCCATGAACCTATTAATAAACACCTTGAGAATTCTTTATATAAATCCAGAATTCTTTATACAAATCCAGAATTCTTTATATAAATCGTAAGGCTATCGAGGGCATATAGCAGCAACTTTACGATTTGATTATGTAACATGTGACAAAATATAATTGTTATGGATATTGCAGATACTGTTTTTCATTATTCCTCTTTTCCGGCAATTTCTTTAAAAAAAATTTAATTTTTCTTTGAATAAACCTACAATCTGTAAAAAACGCCAAATTGGCAACACTTTTACATTAATGTTAAATGGGTGGAAACATCTGTTGAATGATGTGCCCGCTAACATTTTTGAGAGAGTTACTAAAAGAGTAACAGAGAGGGAGGGAGAGAGAGCACAGAGTGGAGAATACCCTCATTTGTTTACTTCGTAGATTTTTGTTAGCTGATCGATGAAATAGAGATTTTTTCCTACGAAGATGGTTCAAGAAATAGTACCAAACGACGAGTGGAATTTGTGAGATCGAACTGCGAGCAAAAAAGCGAGACACGGGCGCGTTTTGTGTCGATCCAAGTGATTGCTCTGCTAAAGAATTTATCAGTGAAATATAATTAAAGTACATAAATGAATTAAATATTGAAATAAATCAAAAGGAATGGAAAACAGAAAAACAAATTACAATTTGTCAAATAAATGTCAACGGCAAAATTGGGAGACTGACATAATGTGTGAGAGTGGCAAAGGCAGTAGTTGTTGTTTTCATGGTGTTGCCTGCCAAAGAGATTCAAGTGTGAATAAATAATAATAACAACAACAGCAGCAAAACACCCAACTCAAGTGTTGAAACGAAAAGAGCGAGCATAGCTGTCCCAACCCCATAAAAAAATAGAAAAAATGTTTTTGTTGGTGGCGCGATATAAAAAAGTGAATTAAAATCAAGTAAATTTTTTAATATTAAAAGAAGTAATAATTTTCCAAACCCCCAACACACTCACACATACTTACGCATTATTTATCAGCAGTGAACAAAGAAAGCCAAAAGCACAGTGTAAATATTATTAATAAAATTAAAAAAAAGAAGAAAATAAACAAAAGTCCAATTTTGTTTTTTTTTTTTCACTTCTTTTCATTTTGCATTTAATTCTGTTGTTATGTGAGATTACAAAGCTGCTTCGGAGCTAATGACATGCAGCAATAAAAAAACAAAAACAACGAAAAAGAAGAAGAAAACAACAACAAGTGTTAAGAAGTCCAACTGTTGACGGAACAACTCTAGTTTAGTAAAAACTCTTAGATTTTTTCGAAATTTTTTCCAGAGGTAGGTATTTTTACCCTGATCCCGGGAAACTATTTTTTTCTTGGGGGACGGACCCGGGACCCCAGATTTTTGACCCAAAAGTCCGGGATCAAGACCCCGCCTGGACCCGGATCCACTTACCCGATATAGACAATATGGGTATCGATTGAAAGCTTATGGAAATACCTATCCAACAAGTGGTCACATGAAGGGGTAAGTTTTCATGGTTCGGAAGTTATAGTCAAATTATCGATTTTTTGGACCCGGATTTTTTATGAAACCCCCAAAAAGTCAAAAAAGGGCCCATTATGGGGGTCAACAAAATTGTTTCCAAATTATAGCTGACACTCTTACCTTTCCAAAATGCTACAATTTGTGCTAATACCTTTTTCGGTTCCAGAGATATGGGTCTTTCCATCCGCATAACCCGATTCTAACCAGTTCATTAAAATTATGTTTTTAATAAAAAAAAGTGTTTATTTCGCGTAGCAGTCGTCGGAATAACAAAAGTTTTCTAAATTTGGCACTTTTTGTAAATAGCCGGCCTTCGGCCGGGGCTTGAGATTTTCACCTATGGGTATGTCCGACCCCGGCTAACGCGAACAAAAGGTTCATAATTTCGGCACTCTTTGTAAATAGCCGGCCTTCGGCCGGGGCTTGAGATTTTCTCCTCTGGGTATGTCCTACACCGGCTAACGCGAACCAAAGTTTTCTAAATTGGATACCTTTTGTAAGTAGCCGGCCTTCGGCCGGGGCTTGAGATTTTCTCCTCTGGGTATGTCCTAAACCGGCTAACGCGAACCAAAGTTTTCTAAATTTGACACTTTTTGTATATAGCCGGCCTTCGGCCGGAGCTTGAGATTTTCTCCTCTGGGTATGTCCCACACCGGCTAACGCGAACCAAAGTTTTCTAAATTTGACACTTTTTGTAAATAGCCGGCCTTCGGCCGGGGCTTGAGATTTTCTTCTCTGGGTATGTCCCACACCGACTAACGCGAACCAAAGTTTTCTAAATTGGATACCTTTTGTAAGTAGCCGGCCTTCGGCCGGGGCTTGAGATTTTCTCCTCTGGGTATGTCCTACACCGGCTAACGCGAACCAAAGATTTCTGAATTTCATTCTTACGCAAAATATACCTTTTTTATTGAAAACATAGTTTTAATGAACTGGTTAGAATCGGGTTATGCGGATGGAAAGACCCATATCTCTGGACTCAGTAAAGGTATTAGCACAAATTGAACCTTTTTGGAAAGGTAGAAGTGTCAGCTATAATTTGGCATCAATTTTGTTGTCCCCCATAATGGACCCTTTTTTGACTTTTTGGGGGTTTTATAAAAAATCCGGGTCCAAAAAATCGATAATTTGACTATAACTTCCGAACCGTAAGATCTTACCCCATCATGTGACCACTTGTTGGATAGGTATTTTCATAAGCTTTCCAACGATACCCATATTGTCTATATCGGGTAAGTGGATCCGGGTCTAGTAGGGGTCTCGAACCCGGACTTTCGGGTCAAAAATCTGGGGTCCCAGGTCCGTCCCCCAAGAAAAAAATAGTTTCCCGGGATCATGGTTAAAATACCTACCACTGAAAAAATTTTCGAAAAAATTGAAGAGTTTTTACTAAACTAGAGTTAAGCCCGTTTTTACTACTGTTTCCGGGTTTCTATATATACCATAAACGATTTCATTTTGTTAATCATATGTATAGATAATAATCAAAAATTGTTTTTGCCCATTATTTATTATATCACATAAAGCTTCACCTCCTAATATTTGGTATTTCGGTGATTATATTCACATTTGTAAACAGAAATTGCAAACGTTTGGCACTGGCAAAAATAAAAGAGTTTTTTTATTTTTAAAGGTTTTCTTTACATCATAGTGGAGGTTTTTAAACATTCAATATATGCCAAGGTATATTAAATTTGCCATTCCATTTTAAGATCCCAAATATCCCTCGGAGACCTCACACTATATATTCAGAGAATAAAAATACTAAATCAATGTAATGATTGTCTGTTTGTTTGTTAAAATCAAGGTACAGTCCATATTTTTAGTGTAGATACCATAAACAAACTTTGTGCTAGCAAAAACTGATTTTGAAACATGACTCATTAAGAAAGGTTAATTAATTTCAAAGAAACTAGAAAAATGCAATTCTGTGCTGGAGTCTTATAGTGTCAAATAGACTTTTTTTAAAAACAAATTCTTATATTGGGGAAAACCTGCGAAACAAGAATGCTTTTAGTGTTATTCCACCAGATCATGATAGAAGAATACAGGTAGATGCATCAACGCTTGGAAACATTGATATGTCAAAAAATTTTAAATGTCTTTTCAAATATAAGTGATGTTTTCTTATACGACATCATTCGGAGGTTATTATAATACGCGTTTTTCAACAATTTTTACAAATTTAAATAATTTTTCATTCAACATTTTCAATTCCAAATTCTTCTACCATGCACCAGATTGTATCTAAAGTAGTAGGACAATACAGATTTATTCCAAAATTGTACAATGGGCTGCCCATTAACCATGGTAGAAGAATATAGGTAGACGCGTCGACACAGCTGCTGGGACAATGAACTGTCAAACCAATTTTGGAATTGAAAATGTTGAATGATTTTGACCCAAAAGTCCGGGATCAAGACCCCGGATCCACTTACCCGATATAGACAATATGGGTATCGATTGAAAGCTTATGGAAATACCTATCCAACAAGTGGTCACATGAAGGGGTAAGTTTTCATGGTTCGGAAGTTATAGTCAAATTATCGATTTTTTGGACCCGGATTTTTTATGAAACCCCCAAAAAGTCAAAAAAGGGCCCATTATGGGGGTCAACAAAATTGTTTCCAAATTATAGCTGACACTCTTACCTTTCCAAAATGCTACAATTTGTGCTAATACCTTTTTCGGTTCCAGAGATATGGGTCTTTCCATCCGCATAACCCGATTCTAACCAGTTCATTAAAATTATGTTTTTAATAAAAAAAAGTGTTTATTTCGCGTAGCAGTCGTCGGAATAACAAAAGTTTTCTAAATTTGGCACTTTTTGTAAATAGCCGGCCTTCGGCCGGGGCTTGAGATTTTCACCTATGGGTATGTCCGACCCCGGCTAACGCGAACAAAAGGTTCATAATTTCGGCACTCTTTGTAAATAGCCGGCCTTCGGCCGGGGCTTGAGATTTTCTCCTCTGGGTATGTCCTACACCGGCTAACGCGAACCAAAGTTTTCTAAATTGGATACCTTTTGTAAGTAGCCGGCCTTCGGCCGGGGCTTGAGATTTTCTCCTCTGGGTATGTCCTAAACCGGCTAACGCGAACCAAAGTTTTCTAAATTTGACACTTTTTGTATATAGCCGGCCTTCGGCCGGAGCTTGAGATTTTCTCCTCTGGGTATGTCCCACACCGGCTAACGCGAACCAAAGTTTTCTAAATTTGACACTTTTTGTAAATAGCCGGCCTTCGGCCGGGGCTTGAGATTTTCTTCTCTGGGTATGTCCCACACCGACTAACGCGAACCAAAGTTTTCTAAATTGGATACCTTTTGTAAGTAGCCGGCCTTCGGCCGGGGCTTGAGATTTTCTCCTCTGGGTATGTCCTACACCGGCTAACGCGAACCAAAGATTTCTGAATTTCATTCTTACGCAAAATATACCTTTTTTATTGAAAACATAGTTTTAATGAACTGGTTAGAATCGGGTTATGCGGATGGAAAGACCCATATCTCTGGACTCAGTAAAGGTATTAGCACAAATTGAACCTTTTTGGAAAGGTAGAAGTGTCAGCTATAATTTGGCATCAATTTTGTTGTCCCCCATAATGGACCCTTTTTTGACTTTTTGGGGGTTTTATAAAAAATCCGGGTCCAAAAAATCGATAATTTGACTATAACTTCCGAACCGTAAGATCTTACCCCATCATGTGACCACTTGTTGGATAGGTATTTTCATAAGCTTTCCAACGATACCCATATTGTCTATATCGGGTAAGTGGATCCGGGTCTAGTAGGGGTCTCGAACCCGGACTTTCGGGTCAAAAATCTGGGGTCCCAGGTCCGTCCCCCAAGAAAAAAATAGTTTCCCGGGATCATGGTTAAAATACCTACCACTGAAAAAATTTTCGAAAAAATTGAAGAGTTTTTACTAAACTAGAGTTAAGCCCTGTTGACACTCAAAACCACTTTTTCTACTGTCAAAGTCAAGTCTAGTCAGCAAAAAAATACAAGACCAGAAATTACCAACAACAACACCATCCAAATGTGGATTAATTTTTATTTGCCATAAAAATTTATGGGAAAGAGCAACAACAACACCACCAACAACATAAGTATTTCGATTTGTTTAATAAAAAGGTATGAGTAATAGAAAAGTTTGTTCATATTTTATAAGTCAGAACTTTAAATATTTTAAAATTGGAAAATTGATATAACGCACCCAGTTGAAATACATACATACCTATATATGTGTGTTTGATTTTGAATAAATACATATGCATGCATATTCTGGTACAGTGGGGGACATAAAATGTTCAAAATAAGCCGATTGTTGACTTATGGAACTGGGTTCGTATCGTTTTGAAATGTTCACAATATTTTGACATTTTTACCGTGATTATTTTGGACTTGTTTTTTTTGGACCAGACTGCAATAATCCTAGACCTAGATACAGATCGACTGAACATATATCTATAAAATCTTGAAATTTGGCTTGTAGGTAGGTGCTGGCGAGGTGGGAGTAGTG